TGTTACTATAAGATCAAAGCTGGTCAGAAGTACTGGTACCTAAACTACTATAGTATGTATTTTTAAATTAAAATAGAAAGATGAGTCTGGCTAATTAGAAACAAATAATAAATGTCACTCGCGTGGAATTAATTAAATGACGAAAGGATTAATTGGGTGTTTGTACTTTAATTTGTTGATGAGCCAGCTTTGCAGCAGCCGTGACACAGTGACACTAGAGTAGCTACTAGGAGCACGGGGAGAATTTACTATTTGCCACTCTCTCAAAATACCAGTGCTCAAATGCCACTCTCCCAAATTTTCATTCCCAAATACCACCCGGGCCCACATGTCAGCCTCACTCAGTGGCAAAAAGAAGGAGAATTGTGTGGTGCGAGTAAATTCAACGGATGAGATAAGAGGGAGCTAGGCGCACGCACGGTTGGTTGGGTCCGTTGCAACGGAAGCTATATACAGGGCTAGCTAATCGATTGATTAGTTGATGGACGCATCCTAATTATCTCACCTAGCTGCGTCATCCATCGTCCACTCCCGCGCGCGAAGAAGAAATGAAAAACAAAATTAGGCCCCGTTAAGTTCCAAAAACATCACATCGAATATTTAAACACATGCATGAAACATTAAATATAGATAAATGAAAAACTAATTGGACAGTTAGGGAGGAAATCGCGAGACAAATCTTTTGAGTCTAATTAGTCCATAATTAGCCATAAGTACTACAGTAACCCACATATACTAATGACGGATTAATTAGTCTCAAAAGATTCGTCTCGCAGTTTCCATACAAATTATGAAATTATTTTTTTCATTCGTGTCCGAAAAACCTTTCCGACATCTGGTCAAACATCCGATGTGATATTCGAAAATTTTCTTTTCATGAACTAAACTAGTCCTTAATCCAAGCTACTAGCAAACCTAACCTAACTGAATCGAATTGAATTGAAGCTTCTTCCGTTCCGTGTCAGGGTTGGTGGGCCTATCTAAGAGAGCTCAAGATTTTAAAAAAAAAACAGCCGCTTGATAACCAGTTTTTAAATATAAAAAAACTGAGTTTTCTAGTTTCTGACTCCTAATTTATTTTCTAAATTCTATAACTATAGTTTTTGAGAATCTAAACTAAAAGCCGGCCGGTTAGCTACTGCTCATCCCTACCAACTCCAGCTAGCTCCTGATATCTCTCGTGTCTCCACTCTCCACACCAGATTGATGCTTGTAATCGTATATGCCGGTCGCCAGGTTCAACGTAACGTACGTGTAGCTAGCAACGCCAGGTTCAATGTACGTCCATGGAATGGATATATATATACTGTACTACATATGCCTGCAACCAGTTGAAGCTACGTTGAGGCTACCACCAGAGAAACATCCAGGGTTTTTTAACTAGCTTCACAAGATGATGGGCTAGACGATCTGGGTTCGAAGCCCCTCACCCCTTATAATTTGATATTAGATACTTTTCTAATATTCATTTTTTTTAGGCTACAACCATAAGGTAATTAATTTTCCATGCTTACTCACTGAATGAGGTAATTTCATTTCTGGAGATCTATCGAGCTTATCCAGCTACAGCCCAACCGACGGCGATAGCTACTGCCTCTGCTTGACCACCCCTGTTATCACCTAAACAAACCAACACGTTGGAGTGAGCTGGAAGCTTGCCGCCTCCTGTCCTGTGCACTACAATGCACTTCACTACCAGAGCACAAGAGGCCGGAGGGAGGAAAATATATAATCTCCTCGCATGCATGCGACATCACCACACTTTAATTCTTCCTCCCTTCGCTTTTAGCCGAACCTTTAACTGACCACATGACAAGGGTATTACACTCTAACCTACTCCCTCCGTCCCAAAAAAAAAGACAAACCATGGTTTTCGTGCCCAACGTTTGACCGTCCGTCTTATTTAAAAAAAATATGAAAAAAATTAAAAAGACAAGTCACGCATAAAAATATTAATTATGTTTTATCATATGACAATAACGAAAATACGAATTATAAAAAAATTTTATATAAGACGGACAATCAAAGTTGGACACGAAAATCCAGAGTTTGCCTTTTTTTAGAACGGAGGGAGTAGATAGCTCTGCGCTTTTAATTTGCATCCGTCCAAATATACACACTTCATGCATATAACTGAAATTATACTCTGCTGCTACTTCAAGAGATCAACATATTCTGATCCCAACTGCACCTGTACTGTATTAATTTGCGGCAAAAAGTACTTTAAACTGGAACTTACGGTAGAATGACTTTCATTGTGAAACGGAGGGAGTAATTGCCATCTGAATCGAGATAGTGATCGATCATCATGCTTTTTTTTTAGAATTATTACACACACAACGCACGTACGCACGCAAACCCGCTGTAACCACTAGGCTACAAGCCCTTTCGCGATCATCATGCTTTGGGTGTGTTTAATTTACGTCAAAATTGGAAGTTTGGTTGAAATTAGAACGATGTGACGGAAAAGTTGAAAGTTTATGTGTGTAGGAAAGTTTTGATGTGATGAAAAAGTTGAAAGTTTGAAGAAATAGTTTGAAACTAAACACGGCCTTTTGGCGATGCTAGAAATGTGAAGAATTAATGTCACGTAAGGATTAATGGCCGTTATCGCTCTGCTCATATCCTTAGGGGACAAGGCTTTTTCATCTGCCATGTATATATATATAATTTACATATATTCCCTGTTTGTTTCTGCCCTTTGGGATCAAGCAAATTAAACGCACTTCCTTTTGTCTGGCCGGCCGGCCGGTGTTCAAGCCAAACCACAGAAAGCATATTGTGTACTATTAAATTGCCCGGGCTTTGGAGTAAAACATTTCCAGAGAATATTCTGCCGATCGATTGGATTTTAAATGTCACATTGCAAATTTTAATACCCCTGCACTGCCCCCTGAAACTTCCATTTCAATTCATCCGTGATCTTTGAGCAGCTATAGGACTTGTTTTTAATGAGGGGAGGAAGGTACAGTGTTGCTGTCAAAGAATGATAAGGAAGACTTCTCTGCTGCTTCCAAACTGATAATGTTGTGGTGGTGGTGACAGAGACTCTCTCATCAGGTCCACCAAAAACCACCATTCATTTGCAGATTATTGTCTCTTCATTGCAGTTGCAGGCACAGGCAGGCAGCTTCTTCTGGTACTACTAGCAAATTAGGCCACGATAATTGTTGTCTACAATCACCAATTGTAGATGCATGATTACTATTCTTAATTTGTCCATATATGTTATAGTTTGTACTAGAGTAGACTAGTAGTAAATAAATCTTCAATTCTGTTTCTGATTAATATTACAACATGCATATCGATCCACCGTTTTCTGAATTGTGGTGTGGCAGGAAGCTGCTAGGTTGCATCATGCTATTGGATGGAAAATGTCGGTACTAATTTAGCTATTTTACTCTAAACAATGGACTTTTTTCTATTTTGTCGTAGTACTCAAGATTCATCAAAACACGGAATATTTCTGTTCTAAACTTCTAATTAACAAGTGGCTCGTTTGGGGAGAAATTACCTACAGCTACAGGTCATTGCTTATATGTGTCAAACTGTGATAGTTAGTTGCCTTAGTCATCACAAAATTTGTTGAGCGAGCTAATGTCACAAAATTCTCATTACAGTCTTAAATATATGAGATAATGCTCTGTATGTAACAAATTAAGTTCTGACTGCTGGAGCTGACAAGGCAGGAATTCGTTAGCCAAATGCATGACGAAAGACTGAATTTTTTCCTGCGTCATATAACAGAATTGATGACTGAATTTTCCGTAGAGCTCACTGCATCGATCTGAAAATAAAAAAATCAGATAAGAATGTTTTCGTTCGTGGATGACATTTTCCTCTAGATTTGGTCTTTGCGTGCTAAAAAATGGACGCGTCGGGTAATCAACAGATATACTAATCTCCTCAATGATTAGATTAGCTTGCAATTGATTAATTATTTACTTCACCCGGTTATCCTTTTCCCATTTGGAGATCTACCTAGTGCTACTTGATGATTAAGTATTAGGCAACAACTTGACGCGAATGCAGTGGCCGTATTCTCCACTGTTGAATATTTCGGGTTTTAAATGCGAGCTGATTTCCATTTTATTGCCACCATTAATTTTCGTAATTAATCTAGTGGAAACAGGAGTACTAGTAGCTAACTTGGTATGATAAAAACAAAGAAATTAATTAAATTAAGTCGTCGACTCTGCAGCTAACGTTTCAGTCGCCTTCTTTCTGTATAGCACCACTTGTAGCTGATAGGACAGAGCTAGCTAGGAAGCTTAATTGGTGAGAAAACGATATGTAGAATTTGGATTTATTAACCTTGATATATCGATCGATGCCTCATCATAAAGCTTAATAGTAGCAGGCGGCAGACAGCCACAGCCTTTGGTTTGGCTTCATGCATACATCTCCCATCGCATATTACACTGAAAATCTACAGTGGCCATTAATTGGCCGTTGAAATTTTCTCGCCGCGAACGAAGATAAGCATTGGAGACGGAAATTTAGAAAGGGATGAAGAAATCAACGCGGAACAAAGTAATAAACTCTTTTAGTTAGAAAACTAATTAAAAGAGCAGCATCCATGTTCGTTTAATTTGGCAGGCATGTTCGAGTGAAGAATATTCTAAAAAGAAGCCCTTTCAAAGCTAGACCTCCTCCACTCCAACCCGATGGATGAGGAAGTGTCAAACAATGGGAAAAGGAGAATGGGATCGGATTAGTAGATTAGATTGGTTTAGCGCCAATAATTTAACCTAGTTAGTCGTATCAGGATGAGTAGCATCATTGGCGCGTTAATTAATTATAGCAACAATATTAGGACATGAAGGCAAAATAATTACCAGGCAGCTATTACTGCAGTAGTAACAAGTGAGAGATGGATGGAGGAGGCGATCGAGGTTAATTAGCAGGAGGCTTATGCAGCAAGTTGGCTTCTCCATCACGGCACTCGATGGGAGAGAGGAGGTCGAGTCCTCTTCTATATAAGAGCCACCTCTCCTCCATTTCCTTCTTCCTAAACCCATCTCGATCCCTACCTAGCTAAGCTATTTCATTCACACCTCGATCAATCTCGATCGTCTCTCTCGTCTACTACTAGTACTAGCTTCTTCTCCTCCATTTCTGACCTGAGCTAGCTCAGAACAGAGAGCTGAGAATCATCAGCTAGCTAGCTAGGCGTCTGGGGAGAGAGCAGGAGCCATGTCGGAGTCGGAGGTGTCGGTGATCAACCAGCTGGAGGAGGAGGAGACTCGGCTGGAGCTGCCGCCGGGGTTCCGGTTCCACCCCACCGACGAGGAGGTGGTGACCCACTACCTCACCCGCAAGGCCCAGGACCGGAGCTTCTCCTGCGTCGTCATCGCCGACGTGAACCTCAACAACTGCGAGCCATGGGACCTCCCAAGTAAGTAGTAGTCTCTCGTTCATGGCGGCCTAGCTTCCTCATCGTCTGCTAGCTATTCGATCCGATTCGACGATGGAGCTGCATGCATGTATTGCAGGCAAGGCGAAGATGGGGGAGAAGGAGTGGTTCTTCTTCTGCCACAAGGACCGCAAGTACCCGACGGGGATGAGGACGAACCGGGCGACGGCCAGCGGGTACTGGAAGGCCACCGGGAAGGACAAGGAGATCTTCCGCGGCCGCGGCCTCCTCGTCGGCATGAAGAAGACGCTCGTCTTCTACATGGGCCGCGCCCCCCGCGGCGAGAAGACCCCCTGGGTCATGCACGAATACCGCCTCGACGGCAAGCTTCCCCCCAACCTCCCCCGCTCCGCAAAGGTATTCTCTACTCGCCGCCGGCCATGGCGATGGCTAGCTCACATGTCGCGTCGTTCCTCTTTCTCTTTTATTGAATACTAGTATATGGTTGCGTGCGCGCAGGAGGAATGGGCGGTTTGCCGGGTGTTCAACAAAGACTTGGCGGCAAAGATTGCCCAAATGCCGCCGCCTCCCTTCCCGCGCAACGACTCCTTCGACCTCGACCTCGACGACTTCCTCCACCTCGACGCCGACCTGCCGCCGCTCATCGACGACCCCTTCGCCTCCACCTCCACGCTCAAGACGGAGCCACCTCCGCCGGCCAACCTGATGCACAACCACTACGGCTACTTCTCCCTCCCGGCGTCAGCGACCAATTATAACCACAGCTCCGGCGCCATGGCGGACCAGGCGATTCGGAGGTTCTGCAAGGCGGAGGCGTCGACGGCGTGCTTCTCCGGCGCCGACGCTGACGTGGATCCGGTGGTGGACGAGCTGCTCTCCTTCCCGGACTCCATCACGGACTACTCCTACATATGGAAGGCCTGACCAGATTAATTTCGTGGTTAATTTGCCATATGATCGATCAGATTAATCCTGTTTAATTAGTTGGTTTATTAACTTGATTACTGTCAAAGGTTTGGGTTAACTAGGAGATGATGATGATGGAGTTTGTGGTGATGCGAGAGAGAGAGAGATTAGGTCGCGCTGATCTGGTCTGATCAAGGTGTGCAGAGCAGATGGAGCGGACTAATTCATTAATTAGCTTAATCAAATTAGTTATATAGGTTTGTTTGTCTTAATTCTGTATGTATATAGTTATCTGATTGGGGATAATACATAGAGATTACTAGCTAGCTAGCTAGTTTGGTGATTAGGGGGGTGATGAGCTAGCTAGAGAGAGATATCTCATCAAAATTAAGGTCTCGGTTGGTTGATTAATCTGCAGATTATATATTGCCTTGTGTGTGATAGGCCATGTGGCCTCTTTCTGTGTATGTGTGTGTGTGGATGGAAGGAGTAAATTAACTAAACCCCTTGTACATGTACCATCAGTTGTGCTTTACTTACATGATCAATTCAACCATTGATCGATTAACCAAACCGAGATTTGCATCCATCTGTCGCTTAATTCTTTTCGCTCAGTGCATGTGTGCTGTTGATCCAGAATAAGCAGCTGTTGCGCAGAAAAATATATTGATGGAGAAGAGAATTGAATTAAATGGGTTTGTATGTATGTTTTGTTTGGAGGCAATGATTGGAACGGCAGGCAGGTCCTTGTCGTGGAATCCACTTGGGGAATTGAATGGAATGGGATTGAGCATGCATCAGGTAAGGTAAATTACCAAGGCATACCCTTAATTGCTCCCTTGCCTCTTACCTTAACCGGCTGAGAGAGTGGAGTAATCCCTCCGTCTCTCAAAATAATAATCTAGAATTTTTTTTATAAACACAACACAAACACAGACGCTCGTAACATACGTGCACTCACCCCTGTAAATTCATACACACACCCTATCCTTATGAACACCTCCTTCGAATGACTGGACCAACATATCACCACGGGCGTCTTGTTGTCGACGGATATGTTGTCTACCACAGAAAGAATAATTAACAGTAAATACGAGCAACCGTGTCAAGTATAAAACTTGAACCTGGATGGATTGATTCCATCATATCATAAGAACTTAACTAGTTAAGTTACGTTCACTTTGCCTAATATACCTATTTATACTTGATAATATTTTTTTGTTATAATTTAATTTATTTTAGGACGGATAATTTATTTTAGGACGGATGGAGTATAACAAGTCTATTGTGACGATGAATCCAAGTCCAAGATTTGGAGGGGTTTTTTTTTAACAAGCGGCTTGTGAATTTGCTTGTGGGCGTGCGGTGTTGCATGCGATGCGATGCGCCTCGCTGTCGCTAATATCTGGATGGATGGATGGATGGATGGATGGATGGCTTTGCCTTGCTTTCCATTCGACGCAACAAACACAATTAAAGGCTAGTTGCATTTGGCACAACACAACACAAGGAGAGGCTGACCGGGTTTTGCGCTCGGCCGCCTCGCTTCACTTCTCACCTCGCCTATTGTCATCCAAATTAAACCCCAACAAAATACACTGCACTTGTTAATTTGCGAGTAGCTAATCTGAAGAAAAATAAAAGAACGGAAGTCAGGAGATCAGGATACGTAAAACTTTAGCTGGTCGCCCGGGACTGTGTTTTTTTAAAAAAAAAACACGAACGCGCAAAAGGATTGCACGTCAATAGAGTTTTTATTACACAACGCAATCAGCCAGATCGGTTCTGGAGCTCTGTGTTTTCATGTGCTTGGCCTTGTACATATGTGCAATTGGACTAACTGCCTGCCGGTCAGTAACATTCTACTGCTGGATTTTTAATTACTCTCCTCACTCTAAAATAAGTGTAGTTTTGCACTGTTCATGTTTAAGTTTGACCGCTCGTCTTATCTAGATATGAGGTTATCTACATATATTGTTTTAGGAGTGGTCACAGGTTAATTTTTTTTTGATGGAAGGAGTACTCTGCACTAGAAGCTAGAATATGAATGTGCGCCAGGTGCATGCATTGGCGCTTCCACGTTAGTTGCTTTCAGATGGATGATCATCCATGATCATATACATACATCGATCGATCATCATCAATGGGGCCCGGCCGGCCTGCATGCATGGGAGAAATCTAGCTAGCTGGCTAGCTTAATTAGCTTACTCCTAATCCTAGCTAGCTAGCTACTCATCACGAGTTGGATTTCGTCAGGTCTACCTCGTGATTATACAATGATAATCTGCATCATATCATGCATGTGGGGTACATCATATAGGAGTAGTATGTACTAGTAATATACGGCATCGATCGATCGACTTTCGTTGTGCTTAGATCCAAAGTGTGTATCCAAACTTCAGTCCTTTTCTATTATATCAACCTATCATATATACATAACTTTTCAGTCACATCATCTCTAATTTTAACTAAAATCCAAACTTTGAGCTGAACACAGCCTTCTTTGATTACTCAATAGTGACAACCTTTTTGTCGTCGTTGACAGCATTTAAATTCCCGCACTACTGTTCGTACGTACGAAGGCATGCATATCAATCGATCCATCCATCATTCTGGAAGAATCAATGCATATATATCATCATTCGATCGATCGATCCCATGCATACATCACAAATCTTTATATATGATCATGCATATGCATGTCTATCTAGGCTAACGGCTGCAGTAGTAGTACGATTGTTGATTGATCATCACAAGGGGACCAATCTATACATATGTACATTTATCGGAACAATTATCAAAGAGCTAGTTACTATAGGATGTGTGCCACGATTTGAGTTGGCAGCTGATATATACTGATAGTACTCCTACTTAAAATGCCACGCATGCAGCTACAGCCCATCCTTTTGTTCAAGATACAATGTGCTTAATTACTCTGTCTCAAAATATAAGGATTTTTAGGTTGACAGGGTTATTAAGAAAATACGTGTGAATGATTAAAGAATGATTAAAGAAAGTTTATCATTGGTTGAGAAAAGAAAACATGTGAAGTAGAATGGTTGTGATTAGTTAAGAGAAGGTATGTAGAGAAATACTAGCTTTATTTTAGCACAAGGTACTATGTTAGAAATAACTATATATTTTGAGACAATATAATGTACTTAAAAATAGCTATATTTTGATACAGACGTAGTAGTATGCATGGCAAATTGTTCTAATTAATCACTTAGGGGATGATGTACACTCACTTTTGCACCCATCAAATGGTTAAAAAAATGAAATAATAAAAAATGACATATCACTATAAGATATATATGTCACATCACAAACAAATAAGTTTAAATTTGACCATTCTAGTTTAAATAAAAAGAACAAACTAAACCTCTAAAAATATTAATTTTTAGTAATTTGTGTAAGTTGAATTTAAACTTGCCTGTGGAGTTTCTAAACTTTTTTTTAACTTCAAAAGTTATTTAGGGAATGAAAAAAAATCACAATACTGGTATTATTGCACAAGTGCAGCAAGACAACAAGACCAGTTGCAGTCTAGCTGCCATGCATGATTACTAGATAGCTTGGTCCGTCCTCTCAGATGCTACAATTTTGCATGTGTGTCGACGGCTACGCCTTCATATATGGCTATGAGCCTGACATGACTCGCTAACGACCACACCAAATTCGCCAAACTTATCACAAGACAAGAGCATATGCCTTACATATGTTATGTCACGTTTCAGTATCGCTCCATGTCGCGCTGAAATTTCAGAGCTATATAGCACAACGTTTATTAATTACTCCTAGTTGATGTATGATCGACCGACATCCATGCGTATGCATACTCTCTCCGTACTCATAAAGAAAATCATTTAGGATAATGTTTAAGTCAAACCTTGGGAATATAAATCATGAATAACTCTCAAATTGTTAAGTTTAAAAATGTAAAAATTATATGTATAGATTTGTCTTGAAAAATACTTTCATAAAAGTGTGTGTGTATATATATATATATCACTTTTCAATAAATATTTTTAATAAGAAGTCAAAGTTGTGTTTTAGAGACCGTGTCGTTGTTCTAAATGACTTCATTTACGAGTATGGAGGGAGTATATACAGATGAATATGAACGTAGTACGAAATAGCACGACCCACTGACCCAAACCTAGCTAGCTTGTAATTAACTCCTCCTAAATCACAATGGTTTTTAATCAGGTTTTCAGCTATTTAAGTTACTCATGTCATAAGTAAGTAATACTAGCTACTAGATAATTAAGTTTGCGTATTGGGCAATTTGCAGACAGCTAAGAGTTGATGTCTTGAAGCAGAGGACTCTCGATCCCGTTAATCTCGGTACTAGGTATGTATCTACTATAACAACTCATACATGATAACAGTAATACTACTTAAACACGTTAATTTGATTCGCAATCTAGTAGTACTTGTTATTTTTTCCTGTTGCATTGTTTGATTTGGCTAACCGATCGATATATACGGAATACTAGTACGTACCAGTCTCGTACAAATATACCTGTAGATCGATCGATCCGTATATTTATCCCAGGACAGGAGGGAGAAATTAAAGGGGAAAAAGAAACGCGCGTGCTCCCAATTAATCGCGTAATAAACACGAGATCGATCGATGCATGATGATCAGGGTGTAATAGTATCTTCCAGGTTAATCTACGCGTTTCTTCTCTATTCCAGCTGAGGCTAATGATGAATGAATTGGAGGAGTAAGCTAAGTGTCAATTAGTAATATTCCTGGGATATTTATGTCTGTCCGTAGGCAAACTGTACCCCAGTACAAGCTATAGATCGATACTGCTCTTTTGATCGTAGTACTTAATTAATTACCTGTAATCCTTGTCCGAGAAGACAAATCCATCCAACAACGACTTTACTTTGATGTTGCTTTAATTTCGAGATTCTTAATAATGTGTAATATAAATCTTCAATGATACGAATTTCCTCCGATATATAGTATCCTCTCGTTCTAGTCTAGAGGCCACAAACGCACAATTTGTTAATTACGTGGTTAGTGCTGAATTCAAAAGTTTAAGGCTTAAGGTTTTAGACCATCTAATCAGATCACACATAAAATATAATAAAACAAAGTACTATGAATGTAACCAGAGAGGTAGGTGTGTGTGTAAAAAATAAATCAAACTTATTTGTTACTACTCGATCGAAAGACTTGTGGTTTTGATTAGCCTTGATGTAATTTTCACGCTGTCGTCAGCGTAGCAACGGTTTTAATTTGACGAAGAGGGCTAAACGAGTAGGGTACATATATACTACAGGCAGCAAAACGCATGGAGGATTTTGGTAGCTAGGCGACGGCACGGGAAAGTTGAAGCCTGGACGTATCGCTCATGGGCCAGCCAGGCCCAGGCGTGTCGACGTGTCCAGGCCTAAAACCACAAACCACGTGGAGCCCAGGGTCCCACGTGTCACCACTTATTGGTCGTTGTTGTCTCGAAGAAAAAAATTGCAGTGATCGATGTGGACGCCATCTGGACGCATGCATGCGTAGTATATAATTGCATATGAATGCCTCCATCTCCATCTGTATATATCGGATTAATAGAAGACGACGACGACATCGAGGGAATGTACGTACTACATACGGATAGGGATCTGTCGTCTGTGTGGAGCCCCGTCATTCCCATACTCTAGAACGGAAGATTCATCTCAGTCAATTATTTTTCTTTTTAGTAATAAAAATGTATTACATCACATCGGTCCTCTGTCATACGGCCAATTAGTTCTTACTAAAATAAATTAAAAGAGTGGTAGGATAAATTCCTAGTTACCCTTAAGAAATAAAAAAAATAACATGCTAAAAGAACCACACATATTTTAATAATTAAGCCAATATATGTTACATCATCCATAATGAAATAAAATTCTCTTGGCAACTGATTCCAACAGTGTGGTGTCATATAGTTAAATAATTAATTAGTCCTCGTAATATATAATGCTGAAAACTTTATGGTATAACTTGTAGCCGTCATACACGGGGAACTAGGATATTTGCAGAAACTTATGTGAAACAACTCCCTTATATATGTATCCATCTGCCCAATAATGTGGGAGATTAAATTGATCAACATTAATTGAAAGCAGAGCAGTTGCTTGGTTAACAAAAAAGGAGCTGAGATAGATAGATCAGATAGGTGTGAGTTGTACAGTACTCCACATTTGCAGGACCGCAAGCGCAAGTACCATGTTGGTGATGTACTAGCTCCATCGATCATACTGCAGGTACATTCCATGATCTTTTTGCAATCAATGCAGGGCTAGCAAAAAGTGCAAGATAGGAAAAGTGCAAAGCATATATCTATATCTCCAAGATATTTCTAGTTTCAAGCTTATTGTACACTTTACTAGGAATTCAATCACCAAACACACACATGCTAGCTATTATATCTTGGCTTCCATGGAACATCTAACTAACCATAAAGCATGCATTCTTCACATGCCTTATTACATTGTACCAATCTCATTTTTATATGATGACCTGGATAGCTAACTAGCTTGCACATCAGGACCAACCATTTATTTATTTATATTTATTAGGGAAGATCGTATATAGTGGACAAAGCCTTTACTATGTATTAGAGTATACCCCAAGTCCATGTACTGCTAGTATTTGTCCTTCAAACCTACGTACTATTGCTTATCTACGGCATGCTTCACTCACCTTTATTCCTGGCTTTTTTAAAAAAAATTTGCCAGGACTACCAATTTAGCTAGCTCATGTTTTCCCATTTTCAGATAATACTGTAGTTAATATACAGGTTATGGTACATTAGTTGGAGAATTATGTGAACAAACTGATCGATCCTCAGCTACCGACCTGATATATGTCGTCCAGTAATTTTCCATGCTGTTTGGTTTGCATTTTTGTCACTGTCGGCCGGTTTAATTGGGAGAAAGAAGCCTACCTAGTGAATTGATATTTTTGTCCATGTACCGATGAGAATTGAATGACGGCTAATTTCAGTTCTCGAGTCCTAGTCAAATGCTGCTCAAGTAAAAGATCTTGAAAGCAATTGACGAGGGCTTCTGAAAAGAAAGAAAGAAAAGATCAAGTGCACTTGTGAAAAGTACTCGCTAGCTAGCTAAGCTAGTGGCTCATGAGCTAAATACTGATATTTTTTCGCAATTACTACTCGTAGTTCTCTATTGACTGCATTCCCCAGCGTATTTAAACAGAGTTTCAGAGATCTGAAATGCTACTGCTTCATCATTAATTGGCAGTATATTGGGAGAAGAAACATGTGCCGTTTTGCTGTGCCACGTCAGCTGTTTTGGCTTGGTATAGTATCCATTCCATCCACATGTTCCATTGCCAAATCAAATGGGAATCAAAAATTAAATTAATAAATGATTTGTTTCTTTCCCCGAGCTGTAGCTAGCAGCCATGCATGTATGCATATTATGAGGATAAATATTCCCAGTCCTATGATATGATCCAATCCTGATAAACAGTCCAGGTGCATGGGATCTCTGATGATGCATGATTCATCATCAGTCATCCAAAGAGTTGGGGGGTTGATCGATCGATCGATCGATGTGTTGCAGGCATGAATGCCACGTGTGATGCTTCTTGAGTGTGCCACTTGGGCACTTCGATCCCTGACAGCTCCCTTTCGTGGCCATCCGGTTAACAGGTGGCTCACATTTGGGACGTTGCAGATAACATCAGCAGCAGTAGTATTCGAGAGTTTGACAAGCAAAGGTTTTAATTTTTCTGAATTTGTTTTTTCTCTATCCAAAAGCAGGCGTGCAGTGTTCTTCTGTAAACACGGGCAAGCAAAGCATACTGGATGTTTCCAATATTTTTTTTAAGGCAGTTGTTTGCTTCTGTGCTGTGCTATTAGAGTGCGTTGCTGTGATAAATCCCTTTCGATTACGAAGTGTTTTGATCCAGGAGTTTAAGATTAGCCAGACACAGATGCAATGGGTTTTGATGGGTGCCTGGCTTGAGAGAGGTGTTCAGTTCAGCCAAGGCACTCAAAATTTTACTTACAGAAATGGACAACACCAACCTTTCCCAGTTTCCGGTTCCCATTAATTCAAACAAAAAGAATATGCATGCGGAGGATCGAATATCCTTGACACAAGTCAAGAACTGATGATTATTTATAAGTAGTGTGATTAAATCAAGTTGCAGTACTAGTTTTTAGGTAATTAAGGAGATAGATATAAAATTGTTGGAGGTGCAAGTTCAATCAACAGCGAAAGAACAATTTGTATGTGGAAGCAGCACCAGTTTTAGTAGCAGCATATATATAAAGCTGCTGCAGTTGAGGAAGACGCATGATATATAAGTGCAGGCCAGACAGAAGATTACAAGAGAAGGCTTTCCTTTGGAGATAGATCTATCTTGCTTTATTAGTTTAGTACTGTGGAGTAGTGCTAGACTTTGTATAATACAGTTCGCACTTGTGAAACCGGATATCGGGATATGATCGATATGCAGTGACGGTGATGCATGCATACATATGGGCCGGTTAGTAGGGTCAGTGATAGATATATATGCAAGGATTTGGATTTGGTGGTGGCTGCAACGCGGAGATGATGCGTGCAGTGCGTCCAGAACCGGAATATTGGATCGATGATGATGATGATGATGCCAAATTGCCAATGCCAGCCGTTTGCAGATAGATGGATATTATGGATCATGGATAAAGGAGACGTACTAGTATTAATTTGGAGTCAAAAGAGTGAGCAATCTCCATGCGGATTGCAGTGCAGCAGCTAGCTAGCTATTTGCGTTGAATGGAATCATTTTAAGTAAGCGTAAAGTGAGCTTCAATTCATTAGCTATTTGCTCGTCCTGTCTGTTTGTCTCTCTGTTGAAGTATGTACTGATACTGGATATTGTAGTTGTAAAGGAGGCTAGGCTAGCTAGGTATGGAACGAGAAATACTCCACATGAGAGATCAAGGGTGGCCATGCATCACTGCCGGTGTCTGGTCTAGCAGAAAGCAATCGAGATCAATGTATCTCTTTCGATCTTAGCTTGATCGATGTTCAGTTCGGTTGGGTGGTGAGCCGCTCAAAAGTATTTCTGCCTGCCTGATTGATAAAAGCAGTCGACGCAAGAAACAAATCGCAAGTAGAAAAGAAAGAGAGAGAGAGAGAGGAGGAATTAGGCCAAGGAATATTAATTGGGCAGACCAATAATACACCATAATTAGATTAGGTTAGATGGAACAAGAATCATTTCTTCATCGTCGTCGTGCAGACGGACTGCAAAGAAAATACTGTATAAAAAGAAGAAAGTGGCAACAGGGTAATAAGGCCTATTTTGAGGAAGCCCAAATAGTACGAGGCCCAGCTCATCTCGTTGGACTGAAGCCCAAGAAAGCAAGAGAGACGAGGCGAGGCGGGGGCCTGCAGGCGAAGGCGAGGCCCAAGCATCAGGAGGAGGCCACTTTGGGCATTGAGGTCAGGCCCAAAGACGATGAACTCGCTCTCCGAGAGCTTCGTGCTGTGGTCGTCCCGCACGGACCCGGAGCCACAGATGAGAGAGTAGACATACGGTTGTTGGGCACCGGCGTAGTATAAACTCATCAGCAGTAGTACGTAGTGCCTAGAGATGGCAATGGGGCCCATTCACCGTTTCCACGCGGTGAATTCACCTATTAGGTGACGGGGATAATTAATATCTATTCACCAAGGGGAATAAAATGGTTAAAAACCTCTCACCATCGGGGATGACAGGCCCCTAACCCGACTGACTGTACTGTACCATGGCTTTTTAGATGTTTTGGTCCATAATACTAAAGCCCATTTAACAGGCATATCTATATCTATATTAATATAAAAAGGAGGAGTTGCCCCCCTCCAATGCTACTGGCCAAATCATTCGGATTAATCTGAACCATCCATCCGCGCGCAACTTATTTCCACCATACGATTTCGCACCCGAGGATTGCACACCGATTGGCCGAAGACATCGCTCATCCGTCCTCATCCACCCGCTACTGCGAAGACATCGCTCCTCGACTCCTCCTCACTCGCTCCTCTTACTCCCCGCTGCCACCGCTCCTCCGCGGCCACGCCGGAGCCACTGCCGGGTCCTTCTTCTTCCCCACCGCCGGGTCCTGCTTCTTCCCCATCCCCACCGACGCGGCCGGCCTCTTCGCTCGCGCCTCCTCCTCCCCGCTGCCGCCGCTCCGCCGCATCCTAGACGGAGCTCTGCCGGAGCTCCGCCGGACTCTTACTCGGAGCCGCCGCCGGAGCAGGCCTCGGCCCCTCATCAAGTAAGTTCCTTAAATCCTGTCTCTTTCCCTAATCCCTAATCTTCTCCGTACGAACACGATCTGAAAACAAGTGACCATAAGTTTCCTTTTTTGTTGAAGTTTGATATGTTTCTATGCGCTCAGACCTCAATCGCGATCTCCCTCGCTCAATGCAAAGCATCGGACTTCAGCGATCAACGCTTGATTGCCAAATGGTCTGATCCGGCCGCTCCGCTGCCAAGGCCACCACCCCGAGATCGCGTGGATCTGGCTGCTCCGCCGCCGAGGCCTTCAACCCTGAGCCCTTCTGCCATGAGTCCGCAGCAGGCTCCATTGTTGTGTTCACCGCCCGGGCCCCTCACCGCCAGATCGCAGTCCACTCCACCGTGTAGTCGCTGCACTGTGCCCCTTCGCAGCTTTGCTGCCGAGGCCAACGCCCAGGTTGCTAGACCACCACCTTCTTCAACACCATATTGTGGCCCTTGACTTCTGCCTGATTGCCGTCACATAGACGTTCATCAACCCTAGGTATTTACCCTAACAATCTCTTGGTTTAGTGTCAATTTTGATTGCAAATCTTCTACAAATTTGCCACGATGTTGCTCATAATTGCTGTCACCCACAGGTGGCCATGGTACCACGATGCTGCGGTGACTGCTGATACGATTCCTGTTATGTCATGTTTGATGCTGAATCACGAGGATTCTCCAAGAGTTGGAAGCTATCAAACAGCACCAGGCAGTCAAGTTGTACAGATGGTGAAAAGTATGGAGAAGCTGCAGTCAAGTTGCTTGCTGCTACATTAGGAGTAACAAGTGATTTTTCATCTGAAGACCAATCCAGAAATATTGGGACAATCTGACTGAATAACTGCTAATTATAACCAATGTTTTGCTCTAAGTGTTATTGGATGTTTTCATTACTGGTACAGGTTGTTTATATAATCTATGTGAGTTTTCTCTAGGTGATTTCTTTGTATTTCTTTCAAACTTGATATTTTCCTTTACTGTTTAATATTGCTTGCCACTAATCATGATGTGAAAAATAATTGAGGCAAAGAATCATGCCTTTCTGCTATGCAAAAATGTAAGCCTTTATTCTGCGCAAGGGCGCAAGCATGGTTCATGCATAATGGTCAAGAGCCGAAGAGCTAGAAAATATAATATGCAGCTAGCTAATTTGTTATTGTCAGCTGTATTTGAGTAGTACTTAATTTTGTTTTCTAATGCATGAATTGCAGGATCAATGGGTGCTTGCTGATAAAAGAATGCATATAAATAACAATTGGTGGAGGCGGATAAGGAGGCTGGTCAAGTCAGCCTCCTGCAATTACTAGTGAACATGCACGTGCAAGGCACGTTTTCGTAATATATATTATTGCAAATAAAAACATATTAAATTGCCAGTTTATTTCCACTCTCCATTGAATGATAGTTACAAAATAACTTTCCCTTCTTAAAGAAAATGTTATTATAGAACAATGCCATCGCCTTAGCAATCAGCAAGCAGCAAATTAGTATCTCCATGACCCTATTGCCAACATGTGAGACCCCTAGTTAGATTTGTGAACTAAAAACACCTCATTACTGTAACAACAGGAATGTATCTCTCATGGCAACATAATCTCTAGTACTAACAAATAGAACATACAAAGATTAAATCTATTAACCATTTGATCAAACTGGATGATGTAGGATTTCTTTCATAAACATCACAAGGAAAATAAAATTGGATTTGATCCTTATGGGCTTTCACCTTGTCAAATAGCAGTGTGCATTAAAAGTATCTTATTGTTGCTGCTAGCAAATCCTGATGCACACTCCATTTCTTGAGAATGTCAGAAATATATGCAACTTGATTTACTAAACAAGCAAATAATTATGGGTTTGCACCTTGTCAAATTCAATATCTCTTCATCAGCTTTGTAACTCAGCAAATAAAATCAGAAAGTGTAGTTCTTACCAAACATTCCCTTTTAAGAAAATAATCGACTTGGCTTTTATGAACCCTCGAATAAATTACCAGAGACTTGAATTTTAATTTAAGATATATAACCAGAGCCCAGAGGCAACTTTTCTCAACCATGTGAATAATAATTCTCAGTCCAGGTTAAGGACCAGATGAATAATAGGTTGGGGGTTTGTTGAAATTTTGTATAGGTGAGAAGGCATATTAGAATAGAGCTTTAGACATATTCCCAAGTCCCAACATTCAATTAAGTGAGTGTGCAGAGAGAAGTTCACAGGAAACATAAGACGCAGACTACTTAGTAGTGCTATGAGTCAATGATAAATTACTTTACTAAGAATATAATATTGACATAATCAAACTTATATCAGTTTAAAGGCATCAACTTTCCAGGTAATCAATGAGCATCAAGAATACCTTAACAACAGGATGTTATACACCTGTACTAATCTGGAGTAGTATGGTCAATATGCCTAAAAATGATCCAATGAGCATACTAAAATTATACTATTTTTTTTGCTTCAAGCAAGACCAGTGAAAAAAAAAGTCAGTGCAGACATGTAAATGAACATATCTAGAGGTGCAGTGTGGAGGCGGATGATGGCGGACTTGAGGTGCGGAGGAACTATTATTAGGAGATACTAAATCAAGTTATAACATATATACTCAGAATACGATAGAACCTTACGAACATTTTGTTGAGCAGTTCATGAGCAGAAAAAATGGTTACTTTGAGTAAAATGTCTTGTACCAGTTTAGTTCAACAAAAGCAGCAAGCTAAGATTTCCCAGCAAACTCACGTGTATAGCTAAAAAGATTTGGAACAAACATACCTATATGGAATCGATCAATCGCTCAAGCTTCAATGCTTAAAATAAGCATTGAGTGTAGGTAAGAGAATAAGTAGCTAAGAATTATAGAGGCTGGATTTAGATGAATCATATCTCCGAAGCGCAAATGCCTGCCAGATTCCTTATGAACCACAAGGTAACCAATACAAAAGCAAACTGGAAAAAATATAGCGAAACATAAAATTGGGGCTAAAGTGCTGCACTGTCAGTGTCTATTGCTATTCCATATGGCATCCTGCAGGTATTGAACAAATTGGGCAATTTCTCAAACTTGGGAAGCACACATAAGAGAGCAGATTAATATGCTTTTTAGTGCATGTACAATTCATACATCAGAAGTTAAACACCACTATATTTATCAATGTATTCTTGAGAAGTTAAATACCATTTCTTTTGTATGGAATCCCAACTTCGCCTAAGCATTTGCAGCTAGAAGTGCTCATCTCATCCCTTTCTTATGTGGTCTTTCTCAAAAAAAAAAAGAAGAAGAAAAACTCACCAGAGATGGTTGCAGTAGCGATTAACTCTATGAACTCATGTCATATCTTACCAGCAAGCTCATTTTGCCACATCATTCCTCAGAGCTCCCTTTGGTGCGTCTGCTTGTTGCCCTCCAAATCTTGTGGCTAGAGGTGCTGCCATCCCAAGTAGGTTGCCTCCTCTTGCATGCAAAGAATTTTTTTTTAAAAAAGGGTCTATTAAGAACTCGTTGACCAAAGAGTAATGCATATAAAAAAAATCTATATTTTAATTATACTGATAGCACTCATTGTGCCACCAGTTAAAGAACACAGAAAGTAAGTGGGAGAATCTCTAAATCTGTGATGTTGAACTTGATCATCACATAATTCTCTTATATTTATACTGCCAATTAGATTCTCCTTGACTGTCCAATAGGATGAGACTGCCTTCCTAATCCAAAGCACGCCAATATACTCGTGAATTGACAGAGGAGTTATCTTGGCCGACTCTATCACTTGCTATGGTGTCATTCGAGGGCACCGGCCTCATTGGGGTGCCCGGACTGGCAGCAGTGGTGTCAGGTGTTAGAGACCTAGGGGCATGGAAGTGAGGAATCATGTGCATATATGTAAATCGAAAGCAATATCATTTTAATGACAATGTGAGAATAAAAATAAAATAAATAGAAGATCTAGATTATTTGACAAAGTAGAGATGATTGTTCTTTCCTTAACAACCTTGTTGTAGGTTGTCTTCAGTAGCGAATAATCATTCCGAAGCTGCATTGTTTTAAAGCTAAACATGTTAAGCAGAGACAATTGAAAAGCATAAGAAGTCCTAATGCTTTCAATTACAAAAAATATCGTTGATCATGGACTGAACATACAGGAAGCAAAACACATTCTATAAAACCCAAAAATTGTCGCAAATGAAAAGGATAACTGATTCAAAGACAAAGCAGTAACTCTTTTTGAAAGTTGGGTTGACATGAATCTATATTGAAGAACTGATTGCCCATGGGCGCATAGTATTGTCTAAGTGAAGGCCTTTATAGTTTTACATTGCCTAGGTGAAGCAGACTCTGAATTTTAACTAAGTTGCTAAATTCAATTTGATCTCAGGCTACAAATCGCAAAAACTCTCATTGACTTTCAGCATTCAAATCATAAAAACTCTAATTGATTTCAGCAATTCGAGTTTTTAATTGTTTCAATCAATCTTTGGATCTTGATGGTGCTGATCATGGAGGCACAGCTAGCAGACCATGGTTGTAACTAACACATATGCTTGACTGTACTGATTAATCAATGAGAGTTTTTTGGTTGAACTAATGAAATTTCTACTGTAGTCGAGAGAAATGACAGCTAAAAGAACAAAGTGAAATGAAGAACGGGCTGCTGCTCACCGAGTCGAGGAGGATGTTAGATGCCTTGAAGTTGCTAGATGACCAGCGGGTGAGTGTAGTGGAGGAAGTCAAGCCCCTTCGCCGTGCCGCGGGCGGTCTGAATCATCCTTATCCATGGCATGGGACCATCGAGACCTGCAGACCATTACAGCGCAGATCAGCTTCCCCAAGTCTTTCTAGAATTGACACAGAGGTGGCGGCAACGAACTGGTGGCTAGGGTGAAGCAATCATCAATTTCTGTTGGTGAACCTTACTGTTTGTGTAGTGCTTTAGCTGAAACCATCTGAAGGTGGTCATGAAGTCCTTTCAAATGATCGGTGCTCATTTTGTGAATTTCATGATTGCTTCACAAGCATGAACATACACTTTCCCTTCAATAATAATTCTTTTGAGTGACAAGAGATGAACTGAAAGTCGTGCATTCATACAGAATCATCAACAGAAATTGAAAACATATAAGCATTTAGGCTTCCATTCAATCATTTCGCAATACAACTACGTAGAGTACTAAATTAGGTAAAGCATTGCACACGGTTACCTACCCATTGAATCATTTCATCGAGCAGTAGGGGAGCATGGGCACAAAGCAATGTACCTAACAGCTGTCTTCCTCAATGCTGCCACGTGCTCCGGCCTCATCTTCATGCTTTTAGTGGTGGTGACTCCGGCGCTGGCTTCCTGCTTTTAGTGGTGGCGGCTTGGAGGCTGCAGATGACGGCAACAGAGGCAGGGTCGTGAGCTAAATTCTAGGGGTTAGGCCGCAGTAGCGGAGAGGAGGACGATGGCGGAGTAGAGAAGGACAACGACAGCGCGAGGACCCTCCCACAGATCGAAGCCTCACCTCGTGCAGTCGTAGAAGTCTCGGTCTCCGGCGGATGCAAGGGGATTGAGGGCTGGCGCCCGGCAGCGGTGATGGCGTGCGAACATGAGGCTAGGTGGGGAGGCATGGATGCGAGGTTGAGTGCACTCGGCGGATTGGAGTGCGACCGACGGCAGTGGGTGAGGCGAGGGGCGGGTAGAACGTGGGGTGGAGTGCGGCCGGTGGCGTGGGTGAACCGGCGGTTTGGACCGCGGCGAAGCTGGGGGTGCGGTATGAGGGATTGAGGGGGGCGTCGGGGAGAAGGTTTGGCGAGGCAAGGCGCGGCAGCGAGGGCGCTGGTCCGGCAGTGGAGTGCGGCGACGGCGTCGGGCATCGGCGGTGGAGCATTAGCTGATCGGCAGCGTCGGGTGAGTTCGAGACAGAGGAGGGCAGAGGCAGCATCGGGGGATTGGGGACCGCGGCGATGGGCGATGGGCGAGGGGGTGCGTGAGAATATTCGCAAGAGAAGGGGCGCGTGAGTGTGGCGGCACCGGCGGAGCAGATCGTGGCGATGAGCGAGGGGCAAGGGCGTACCGGCGGCGGTAGCGGGGATTTGGGCGGAGCCGCGGAGCGAGGAGGAGTGAGGAGGCGGAGGGATTCGAGCGGCGGAGTCATCGCGCGGGCGGAAAGCGCGGTGGAGAGGAATCAGGTGGGATTGGTGATGATGATTTCCTACAGCGAGGAGGATAGGGGATAGCGATGGACGGATGAGATTAGATGAGATGGCGGATGGACGAATGAGATGAGATGGATGATTTGTCCGGTAGGATTGCTAGAGGTGAACTCCTTTTTATATTAGTATAGATGTCACTGGTAATATGCTTTCCTATAGCTGATCTTTTCCCTCTTCGGTCATGTTCTGTTCTGCTTACCACACCTCTCCTCCACCCAAAAAAAAAAGGTATGGAACATCATCATGTAGAAACTAAAATTTAAGTTGACTCAAATTAAGTAGAAAACATGCTAGAAAGAAGTATCCCTCCCTCACTGCTGACAAAAGGAATGAGGGCTTCAAAAGAATTGAGAGTACAGGTAGCGGTCCTAGCGGAAGAAAGGAAGCATATGGAGCAATGAATTGGTCTGCCTCTACTACTATTAGAGGTAATCTGAAAATGATTTATAATCTCATTTGGATACAGTTATCATAAATATGTAACTCATAAACTCCCAGTGGTGCAGTATAAATTTTTTTATATGAATTTTGAATAGCAACTAGATATGACACCCATGCACATTACATTTACAGAGAGCATATGACATGCTTGCAATGATCAAACTTCCGAAGAAATGTGCGGTTGTTGTTGTTATGAGCTGTGAGGCCCAGCAAGCAGAGCAGATTAGTGTGATTTATTGATTCTATATGTTAAAATTGATATACTACATCATGTTTCTATTTTTTGTAGTGCAGAATTTTTCTAGAGATAATTTGTGTATCCATTCAATAATATTTTTTTTCTACAACTAATTCAGGCAAACAACAATGCTGGGATGATTTTTATAAGCAGGACATGAACGCTAGAAAGCTAAATTGACACCCTGGTGCCTCCCGTTTATAGATGTCACCAACAAGTAAGAGTGTTCCTCTCGTGTTTATATTGGAATATTGTTATTGCTTCTATCTGTAAAACCTGAAAAATCTGAAACCATTCCTATACTGAATAATAGAAGATATAAAATGAATATGTGTTGCCATTGCATCCTTATATTTATTTCTTCAATCCACAATTAACTATCTAAACCACTTTTTTTTATTTTAATTCACATAAATTATTTTCGTTGCTGGTTTTAGTATGAATATTTTGATATATCTCCGTGCAAAAAAGGATTTTGATATAGCTATATGCATGTGCATTGCCATTCGATTCCTTTTCCAATATGTAACAGTAGTCATTGTAAATATACTTTCATATTGTTTCTCTCTGTTGGGGCAAGAACTCTGAAAAATGATATTTGGGGTGGTTGATAGGCTCACCAGGTAAAAAGGTACTTCATACTATATATGTCTAGATTCATTGACATCTATATGAATGCGGGTAATGCTAAAAAGTCTTATAATATGAAACGGAGGTAGTAGAAACTATGTAAAGAAAACTTCCTTCAATTTAGTTTGTATGGGCATTATTAAGTTACCTAAAACAAATACTAAGAATTTTGGGTCAAAAGGTATGTTTTCTCCACATAATTTTGATGTAAGAGTGATATGGTTCAACCCATAACTCTTTAATTTTGATATGGGTGTTCAGTTGCTACTTTTCTTCTTTTTGCGGGAAATTTATTTGCAAAGCACTCAATTTACTGCTCTGCAATTGCTTCACAGGTAACATTCATGCTTTCAAATCTGTACTGTTCATTCATCTATGAACATATAAATGTGAATTTTATACTGCAAAAATAGCTCACCATTCAGTTTCAATAGTTTATGTTAATGTTTCCGTATAACATTGGAACCATGCCCCATGCATCCTTTTATTAGCAATATTAACTGCTCAGATCGGGCTGGGGGTGTTATCTTCAGAGGGAGGAAAGTGTGAGGAAAAAGTTTTCATGGCATCATTAGTTGTTCCCCTAAGAAAAACATATGTATTCACCTGGATATTTACAATTTTTTGTTTATCAGAAAGTAAATGATGAGTATAACCCTAATCCTCTCATTTTAGTCCTCATTTTAGATCAGTATTCCTTATTGAATGTAAAACTGAAGTTACACTGATGCATGATCACAGAATTATTCTATGGGATTGGTTGTTATTTGTACTACTGAGTACTGACCATTCTCTCATGATATATGAACAGAGCATATGCTCCTAGCAAGAAATGTGGCATGGGTGAGTTTATAGTCTTGCTTTCACCATGTATGAAATGTGGCATGTGAGTTTATACTCTTTCTTTCACCATGTTGACTTTTTGCACATTTATAGAATCTTTTGGTATAATGCTTTGTGTCGATTCACATGTTTTATTAATTATTAACGACCAGCTGCATAGGAAAACTGAGGATGTACATGGTTGAAAAGCCTATAACATTATTACTATGTTCATTTATCTACAATCGTTTGGATTTAAGAGTTTAAAGGATAATTTACTAAGGTGGTTATCTCTGGTAATTAGTTTCTTGTCTTCATCTACTCCTTTTGTACCAGAAAAAATAATTTTTGGATGATGATAATATACTAAGGCCAACTGCAGATGTTGTGACTAATATTGCACATCTTCAGTGCATGCTTATCTAGGGTGGACACTATGTTTATTCCCGACAGTTCTTAATCACTTAGAAATAGGGTTATGAAATTCAGCAACATATGTGATTTGATCTGAAAGAATCATCAAAGAGTTCATCTTTGTGTAAGCTTATATTATAAAAGATTTTATGCCAACATTTTATCTTTCCAACACGTGTCTTGCACGTGCACGATTACTAGTATATAATCTAACCCTAAGTCAACAGGTCAAACTCCAAATCCTCTACCCATCCAGATCTGCACCAGCCACCAACCACCACCCGAGTCAGTCCGCCGGCTCCGGGAGCCCGGGAGCCACGCGCGCCGCCGTTCGCCAGTCCACCGGGAGCCCGGGAGCCGCGCGCGCCGCCTTTTGCCAGCCACCACCGACGCCGTTCACCAGTCTGCCAGCCACCACGCGCGCCGCCACTCACTGCCTTCTCTCGCCGGGATACTAAAGCTGTCATCGCCGGCCGTCGCCATGGACTGAAGTCGCCGTCGCCGGCCGCCTTTCATCAATGCGCCGCCGGGCCGGCGCGGCGCCTGCAGCCATCTTCACCGGGAGCCGCTATCTGCCGACCATGGCTTCGGCCTCCCCCCCCCCCCCATAAGCTACGACAGCGACGATGCAAGGAGCATTTTTGGAGCATTGTGATCTATAATTTGCTGATTTGTTGAATGGAGCATTTTGGATATATATGATATAATGTGACTGTGAATATGTTGTTTAACCGAGGATAGGTTCACCACGAGGAAAATTTCACTGTGTGGTGATCGGGGCTGAAATAATTATAGCCCCGTCGTGGTTGACGGGGGCGAGGACGGTGAAATATTTTCACTGCGGTGACGGGGACGCGAACATGACCCCCGACGGTGAATTCACCGTTGCCATCTCAGTAGTGCCTGTGCCTATGCTGTGAATCAGCTGGGGCAAGGCAAACAGTTGATTGATTTACAGTGCTGCATCCATTTTTACCGGCCGATGGAGTAGTACTGCAGGTACAGGAGCAAGCGAAGCAAATGAGAGCTAAATGGTGCTGACTAGGCTCCGAGTCAGAGCCAGGCTGCAGCTGACGTGGTGGGGTCGAGGGGAGGAGGGCCGGCGCGGCGGGTGCAGCCAGTGGCCGACGGGGAAGGAGTGCGGCGAAGGCTCCCTGCCGCTGAACCTCCAGCGCCACCGCAGCCTTGGCCACCTCGCGCCGCTATTGAGGTTACCCACAGCCACCGGAGTCGCACACCCTCCTCTGCCCTTCCTCCTAAGAAAGAGAGAAAAGGAAGAAGGGGATCTTCAAGTGGGTCCACCATTTTTTTTCCAGATCAAACTGTTATGTAAGTGCCACGTGGAATGAAGACCTAGTCAAAGAAGTCACGTAGGTGTCACGTCAACCAAAATAGCGGACAAATACCACTGAGGGACCTCGTTTGCATCGTTTCTGTAAATTGAGGGATGTGTTATATTTGGTATTTTGGTTTAGGGACGATTTTTGTAATTCGGTGAAAAGATAAGGAACCTCGGTGTACTTTGTCCATCGTATAAGAATTAGACGGTCCGATTAAACTAAGGTGAAGCCCAATAAAGCAAGAAAGGCAAAGGTGGCCCTGCAGGCATGACACACGACAGCAGGCGAAGGCGAAGGCGAAGGCGAAGCCCAAGCATCCATCATGAGAGAGAAAAAGAATAATATGCCACTCCATTCGTTGGGTTTAGACAAAATGTCACCCACTAAAATGCAAAGGATAAAATGCCACTGAATATATTACCTTCAGGATATTTTGCCACATTAAAGGATTTGATTTTAAGACAAAAATACCCTCGACTGTGGAAAGAAATGGAGGAAGAAAGGGAACGGCTCTACTCGCTAGTGACGGAGGCGAGCACACGAGCACGCGGGGGACGCGCTACGATGGGGGAGGACGGTGGTGACGCTGACAAGAGGGAGGGGGACACCGGATGGTGGCGATGGGGGGAGAAGGATGATAGCGCTAACGGGAGGGAGGGGGATGGCGGTGTTGACGGGATGGCTTTGCGCGCTCGTGGCTTGTCTCCTCCGGCGCCGCCCGTACCTGGCACTCACTGCTCGCCGCCTCCGGCGTCACCCGCACGCCGGCGAGCACGAACGCCGTTCAGCTTGACCTTCTTCGGTGCTGCTCTCTCCCCTCTTTTTTCATTTCTCTCCCCAGTCAAGGATATTTTGATCTTAAATTCTTTCAAAGTGATAAATAATTATGAAGATATCATATTGAGTGATATTTTATCCTTTGTATTTTAGTGGGTGTTATTTTCTGTAAAGCCGATGAATGGAGTGGCACGTTGTCACTTTTTGTAGCGCCCATTCCGTCGTAGCGCCTAGCGAGAAAACTATCTCTTAAAAACCCTATTTGCGAAATCCGTTTCTTTGCTTGTTGTCTAGTGTCCGTGCCAACTCAGATCTCAAATCCCCGATCTATTGTCGAGTTCAATCCCGAATCCAAATCCTTCCCAAATCAAATCCCTCCGCAAAAGTCTATTTAGCCTCCCTCGAGTTCGATGGGTCGAATCCCTCTCGGCCCATCTCCCCCCCCCCTCTCTCTCTCTCTCTCTCTCCCTCTCCCCCGCTCTGCCCGTGCGCTGCTCACGCGTGCGCGTGAGCCGCGCCGAGCCGAGCGCCCTCCGCCCTCGCTGCCGCTTCCCGTCGACGCCGCCGAAATCGCCGCGCCGCCCGTTGCTTCCCGCGCGCGCGCGCCTTGGTGGCTGACCGCCTGGTCGCTGCCGCCGTCAGCATCTCCCGCGCCTGCCCGCGCCTGCCGCCCGTGTCGCCGCTCCGCTCCACACCGCCCCCGCCGTCATCGCCATCGTCACGACCCGGCCCCCGCCACTCCACGCGCTAGCCTCCAAGGGATGGAGGCAGAGCTCCTCCTCCCTCTGCCGCGTCGCCCCCGCTCCCTCCTCCTTTTCCCAAAGTGGCAAGGGGCAAACTCCCTTTCTCCCTTCCTTTTTCCTTTTCCCCTCCCCGCCGGCGTCATCCGCCTCTGTCGCCGTTTTGGCCGCGAGCGCCGAGCGCCAGCTCGCGCCTTGACCGCCCAAGGTCGGTTTCCAAACCGACATCGTCGTCCTATAAACCAAGGCGCCCTCCCATCGATTCCTCCTCCCGTTTCGCTTGCCGCCACCGCGCCATTGCCGCCCCTCTGTCTCGCCTCCGCCGTTCATCGCCAAGCACCGGGAGAGCCGGTGCGTTCGTGGACGCGGAAGGGGACTCCGGGCGCTCGCCTTCTTCCTCTTCCCCGGCCCGAGGCCGGAGAGATCACTCCCGTGCCGTCGGCCTCTCGTCACTGCGCCCCGTCCCGCACGGTAGTGCATCCCTCCGTTCTCCCTCCTCGTTCCATCTCCTCCCCTTAGACTCGGGTAGTAGCATGTGTAGCCTCCCCGTAGCTAGCCGGCGCTGCCCCGACTGCTGCCGTCGCTCGCCGTGTGCTCGTCGCTGTCGCCGCCCGTGCTCCGTAGCGCCCGCTCGTCGCCGGCCTCGCTCGGCGTAGCTCCGCCCAATCCGACGCTAGCAATGGGTTCCCGTAGCCGCGTAGATGCTCTCGCCGCCGGGAATCGGCCCCTCGTGACCTCATCGCCGTTTCCCCCTTCCCTCGCCGCCGGTTGCCGCCGCTGCAATCCGCCGCCGTCGAGCTCCCTCCGGCGAATCCGAGCCGTTGGCTCGTCTCCCCTCGTCCTGTGCAACATCCCGGTGTGCTCGCCTTCGCCTGTATCGCCATGGTTCGCTCCGCCGCTCGCCGCCGTCGTCCGCCGTCCGTTCCGGCCGGCGTCGTCGTCTACCTCCCGCCGGCCCGCGTGGCAGCCACATAGGCGCCACGTCGGCGCCACCTCGGCCGCGACCGGATCGGCTGACCCGGCCAGCCGCTCCCTCCATTTTCCCCCCGTGCGCATGGTCCGCGGTGAGCCGTGAGGTTGCGCGTGGGCCCGTCGCACCGCGTCCTCCGCGAACCGCGCGCATGCGCTGCGCCTCCCTCCCCAAACCCTAGCACGACCCGCGTGCACCTCGCTCACGGTGAGCCGAGTCACCGACAAGCGGGTCCCACCCGGGACCACGTGGGATGGACCCGGCCCACCGGCTCTCTCTCTCCTCCCCGCCCGCGCGCGCGCCCTGGGCCGCCTTCTTGGGCCGGCCGGCCCATTAAGCCCGGCCGAGCCGCCCCTTTCGCTCGGGCCGCACCCTAGCCGCCCGAGGGAAGTCTAATTTCCCTCCCTCCTTCTTTTCTTTTCTTTTCTTTTTCAAAAAGGATTTAAATAAATCCTTTTCATTTAGACCAAAAATCCAATAATCTTAGAAATTCAATATCTTCCCAACCGTAAGTCCGTTTGACTCCGTTCAACTTCCAAAATTCCTCAAATCTCGAGATCTATCTAATGGCACGCTTAGAGGTCAATAATAGGGCTTTATTTTCGCCGTTTGCTGAGTTGTCCCGTTTCGCGTGTAGTTTCGGAGCCCGAAGACCCACAGTGCGAGGATTTCGAGGATCAAGCTCAAGATCTCGAGCAAGGCAAGCCACCTTTGAACATCTTGAGCCTATATTTGAACTAAGTTATATTTCTTGCAAAATATTATGCATTGCTAGGATTGCACTTAATATGTTTGCCCCAACTACGAGGCAGAACGGTGAGCATACCTAATTTGTTGCATTTGATCCTTCCTTTGTTAATTGTTATACCATGTTCCCTTGTACCCACCTAGTTGCGCCTCAGCAATCGTGCACTCTGCACGGGTATCAACGGTCGCCTTCAAACTTAAAATCTGAGAAACATCTTGGGTAAAACTTGGGTTTTACAAAAGACTTGGAAAACCCGACACCTGGGTCGGTGCTTGCGAACTAAATGAATTTCCAAAACCGCGGACCGGGGAACGTACCGGGTGTACGGTTTCCCGCTCTTGCACTTAAGGACCGTTTCCTTGGAATTTCATCCGAGCATATGATAGTGCAACCACATGGGTGGAATGGGACACCCCTGGCTGAGTAATTAGCTAATCAGGGGAGCCTTGATGCTGAGAGACAAGTGGATTTGCCGGGGTGGTGTCGGGGAGGACCCCTGGGCTTCCTGGCACAGTATGGTCTGGGACCTAACCTGTTGTTGGTCTGGGACCCCTCTCGTCAGCATATGGTAAACCTGTGTCGGCTTTGGAAATGCCTTGTCATGAAAGCTTGGAGGTCTCCCGACGTGGCTGATCACCACGAGCTGGGTGATCCGGGTTAGTAATGTCGTGTGGGTAAAGTGTACCCCTCTGCAGAGGTTATTAAAACTGTTCGAACAGCCGTGCCCACGGTCATGGGCGGATGTGAGGTGATTCCTAGCGTAGTTTTGTTTACTGCCTTGTGAAATTGCTGTTGTGGAATGGGTTTGATGTTTGGAAAATCTGCGGCTGATGGGATCAGCCAGGCCCGGGTGGCCGTTTGAAAGCTGTTGGCCGGGTGCCAATCTTGATCAATTCAAAAGACTGATACATTGCACATACTCCGACCGGACGAGACACACTGTCTCATCCGTGTCGTTTGAGAAGCACTCACTTAGTTGTTTCAGAAAAGAGTTCAAATAAAATCAATTGCAAAAACAACAGCCTTTCCTTGAAGCCGGCATTAAACACTTATTTCCCATGGCTTGCTGAGTACTCATGTACTCACCCTTGCTCTATATAAATAATCCCCCCAGTTGCTGAAGAAGATGAAGCGGATCCCGCTGACAAGGAGTTCTTCCAGGAGCAAGCCGGCTACGATGAGTTCTAGGGTTTCGGCCTAGTTCCCAAGTCGCGCCTTTGATGTTTGGTCCAAGTCTTGGCTTCCGCTTCCCTTTTGTAATGCAGTTGTGAGCTCGGGATCTGTCCGCAGCCCAACATGACAGTACTCCTACTCTATAATAAAGAGACCTCTGTTGCTGTAATATTCTGTCTTCCTGTGATACCAGCACTATTTTCTGGGACTGGTATCGATTAACAAGTTAATTTGGAGCGTCACGGGCTAGTTCCGGTTGGGACTAGTTCGGGGCGTGACACTTTTCTGCGTCAGGAGGAGCCCAGTTTGGGGGCCAAAGACGCTGAAGCGGCGGTCGCTCTGCGCTGTGGTTGTCGCAGGGTTGTTGGGCACCGGCGCAAGATGCAACCCCCTACCCATCATACTGTACAGTACAGCGCTGTGATTGTGCTGTGAATCAGCCGGCGCAAACAGAGAAACAGTTGATTGATGTTTTACAGCGCTGCATCCATTTTTACCGGCAAATGAAATAGTAGTACTACTACTGCTAGTCCAGCCAGACGTCCGGTAGAGATGAAAATGAGGTACAGGAGCCAGCGAAGAGAAGGGATGAATGGTGCTGACTAGGCTCCGAGTCAGAGCCAGGCTGCATCTGCGCAGCAGCCTATCCAATCTAATCCACACGCAGACGCAATACTGGTAGTACTGTGCACAAGGACGGGAGAAGCAGCATGCCTGTACAAGAGTTTTGTCCCTTGCGCGGCGGTCCATCTCGTCGCGCGGTGCGGTCTCTGGGTGCCGCGCGCGGTTTTGCGAAATCGGTTTCTTGGCTTTGCGTCACTCACATGAGATGAGATGAGTTGCCCATGTGCACCCTGCTGATTCTCTGATTCGCCCTACGCGATGGCCGGTGCTGCCGGCTCCTGCTCCGTAAACAGCGCTTGCATTTTTCCCTTTAAACAAAACATAGGTATCTCTTCCGCTCCGTTCCATTTTCTGTTACTCCTACTGTAGCTACTCTAATCTCATTCTGCGTGCCGCCCAACTGAATGAGTAATTAATCCTCCTCTTCCCTAGGTGATTCTGCTCTCTCGTCTTCCAACTTGCATCACGCTCGTCTCAGACATCCCGCAACTGACCACCATACCATACGTCTTCCTATACACATGTCTCGGATGATTCAATACATTAGGGCAAGTGCTATAATGTTTCATATGTTGCTTCTACAAGTGCCACATTATATTGGGTGATGAGGTGGAGGAGAAAAGTAAAGAGAGAGATGATGAGCCACCCCTAAATCAAGAGACAACCTCCACACAAATTTTAAAAAGGATGTGAGAGTATTAGATATATTGGTATTTGTGAAATAAGATGGTAAATTGTATGGGTTGCCTCTTGCTTTATGAGTGAATAAAATAGATAAATTTAGAGATAGTAGTCACATCTACCATAGCATTTGCCTTATACACGCACAACTGTGGCCTGCTCTTAATCAAACGAAAAAAAGAAAAAAAATACAGTACTCCAGTAGAAAGAGAGCGATATAAACAATACGGTACGCTGTTCCTGTGAAATCTGCTTCACCAGCACCATCACCGCGATCACCTTCCCAGACAGGACAGCTTAACTACTGCAGTACTAGTAGCTTATGGCTGGCAAAACCGTGCTATCAATAGCAACTGGTGTACTGTACACCCTTTTTCTGCAGATAAGTTTGCTATCAATAGGGAAAAATCAGTCGTACATATCCACTTATTTTGTCCAACAATAGGCTCGCCGCGCTTAAGCTGGATACAAAACACAAAGTGATCTTGTTTGTTACTCCATACTCCGAAATCGTCTCCAGATAGATAACCCGAATAGTAAAATGCGCAGCTACACCATGTTTCCCAGGCTAATTGATCTGTCCCAGCAATTTCCAAAGCACACGAAAATCCGTGGAGCTAATTGACATTAAAAATACCCTACAGCTAGGTTCTCGAACAGAAAATCAAAGCACCGACTGCACCTATTCCAAACAAACCCACTGAAAATTGTGCGAATAGTCAATCAGTTTTAAATTATAAGTCGTTTTAGCTTTTATCAAAATCAAACTACTTCAAATTTAATTAAGTTTATAGATGAATATAGTAATATTCACAACACTAAATTAGTTTTATTAAATCTATAATTAAATACATTTTCATAATATATTTGACTTGAGATAAAAATATCCTTTTTTTTCTACAGATTTAATTAAACTTATAATCGAGACGGATAGATTATATTATAGGATGAAGTATGTAGGAGTAGTTTATTAAGGGCATGTTCACTTTAATTTTATTTTCAATCTTACCAAGTTTTGATAAAGTTGTCAAAAAAGTGGCTACATTTAGTTTGCTGTCAATTTTTAGTAACTATAATTGCCAAAATTTTGGTAACTATACTAAAATTTTGATAATTTTAATGTTTTTTTTGGCATCAAACTGAACATGACATCAAGCTTAATGCAGCTTGACTGTTAATGTGGTATGATAACTCGTACTGTCGTACAACCCGTTTAATACTCGATGTCACTATCAAGTCTTTTACAGTGGTAAAGTACATTTATTACGAAGGCAGATTGGGGGTGGTGGGTCACCCATCAACGCTCCCTTTCGCTGTAACGTGGTCCCCACCGAGACTTGACCAAAAAGCACATTTGCCACACGTCCCCCGAGCGTGCACCAATACACGTGGCATCTCAACCCACCAATACCTATATACCCAACCACCGCTCGTGAGGCCCCCAGCTTTTAATCTTATCCACTCACCCCCCCAACCCTTTTTACCCACGCCAAAAAAACCGACGCGCGGCAACCGCTTTCCTCCACGTGTCCCCCATCCGCAACGTCCAGTGAGCATCGGACGGTCTCCAGGATTTACCCCATGTGAAAGCCGTTGCGGTGAAAAGGTGAAAGGGGTAAAAGGAGTGCGCTTTTTTTTCCTTTCTGTTTCTCCCTCCTCTCGTGGGCATTAAAAAGGCGCCTCTTTTCTCCTTCGCCGCATCTCCCCATCCGCCATTGTTGTGTTCTCATCCTCTTCTTCCATCTCTCTCTCTGTGCGTGCTCTCCGACGTCTCTCCTCTCCCTCTCGCGTGCTTGGTCGCTGTAGGAGGGGGTTCAATTGATTTGAGGTAGCCATGGCTGAGGCACTGTGCAGCGGCAGCGTCGCGTCCCCGTGCGGGGAGGTGGGTGTGGGGTTCGCCGCCGGCCTTGTGAGGGGCGCCGCGGCGGCGGCGGCGCTCGCGGAGTCTGTGCCGATTGGTGGGTACAGCAGCAAGAGCACGTTCCCGAGTGGGAGGGTGGCGCTCACGGAGAGGAAGGCGAGGCCCCTGCCACGGAATCTCGAAGCGGCGCATGGGCAGGTCTGTTCGTCAGTTCTTCAGGAGATTTTTCAGCACATAATTTCATATTTTTAGTTCTAGGCTTTTGGATAATACTGCAAGCATGCTATTTTTAACTCTTTTTGGGGTTGGGATTTAGTTCGAGCAGTTGGAGAAGTTAGCTGAGTTCGCGTCGGATGCATGCTAACGTTTTCAAGTTTTGTTGCTTTTTACAGATGAACCTGACGATTGGGAAGGCCATGAGGTGGTGGGAGAAGTGCCTGCAGCCCAACATGAGGGAGATCGAGTCGGCGCAAGACCTCGCCGACTCCCTCCTCAACGCCGGCGACAAGCTCGTCGTCGTCGACTTCTTCTCCCCGGGCTGCGGTGGCTGCCGCGCCCTACACCCCAAGGTAGAATCCACGCCCAAATCCTCTTCAGTTTCCAATAACTGCAAGTGTTCTTTTTCCTTTTTTTGGTTGCTGATGAGAATCTGTTTGATTGTGCCGTGCAGATTGCTCAACTAGCCGAGAAGAACCCGGAGGTGCTGTTCTTGCAAGTGAACTACGAGAAGCACAAGTCAATGTGCTACAGCCTCCATGTTCATGTTCTGCCATTCTTCAGGTTCTACAGGGGAGCTCAGGGCCGTGTCAGCAGCTTCAGCTGCACAAACGCAACTGTAAGCTCCTCCCCAAATTATGTTTCTGCAACCAAAACACCAATCCATAGTAGTGGGTTAATGTGCTAACATGCATTGCTGCAAATGTGATTGCAGATCAAGAAGTTCAAGGATGCACTTGCCAAGCATGGTCCGGACAGGTGTGGCCTCGGCCCGGCGAAGGGGCTCGAGGAGTCGGAGCTCATGGCGTTGGCCATAAACAGGGACCTGAACTTCACCTACACACCAAACCAAGACCTTGTCCCAATTGCAGACGCCCTCCTGAAGGAAGCTGCTGCACCTGGAGGTCCATGGCTGCCATTGCCCGCAACGGCGACGCAGCTGTTCATTCAGGGATCTGAGAATTCGCTGTTGTCATCTGGAAGATAGCCGGTGGTTCGACGGCAAGATTGGCTTCAATTTGTACATATTTTTCCGCTTGTTCTAGCCTGATGTTATGACATGCTGATGCGCAGGCTCATGATTTTTGTTTATGAGCCTGCTGAGTGCTGGAGGCATGAAATTCCTTGCCTGACGGACCTGTATGCGTGATGCACGTCTGCATCGAAAATTGAACATGCTAGATTCATTCATGATTGAATCCCGTAATCCCTGTAGTATTCAGGTCTTGAAAGCTTTGAGTTCTGAATGAGTGTACTTGGTTGTGTCGAAAATGTCGGTACTTGGATCTGGATGCTGCTTTACACCATGTCATGATTCAGGAAGAAGGTTACTGCTGCCTAATCAAAATGAGAGCAATACGAATTGCATTGTTGATTGTTCTGTTCCATCAATTGGGTACAGCGGTGCCAATTTGTAGTATTATTGAGAGATCATGGGTAAGGTAGAGCATGATTCTTTTGTCATGGAAGAGTAGGCAACGGCGTAGTGGGCTCAATATTGCGAGTTGGAAGGTAACGCATGGCTGTAGTAGGTCCTTGTCACTGCACTCACATGAGGGTGTCATCTTTGTCTTGTACAGACGGATAGAGTCGTTACGGATATTGTTACGCAGGAATCAGCTATACACTTGTTTACCATCAGAACAAAACGGTAAAATCCTGATAGGGTTGAATTTGGAAGTGAATTGCAGAACTGGACAATTCGGATTGGTAAAGAAAAGCCATGTCTTGACAGAGAGTTTGGAAACTCAACTACAGAACTTGACACGTCAGGTTGGGAAAAGAACAGCGATTGAAAAGAGTAGTTCAGCATCGAAAAAAATATCTAGACACAACAGAAGGGGAGCAACCTGGATGAAGATGAAGATGAAGAAGAGCTATCCAATTCGCAAGGGCATTGTCAATTTCTGATGCAGTCATGCAGCTGACGCTTTTGGCCGTCTTTAACTTGTGGCACAATCGTCGTCGTCTTTTTCCTCAAAGTGTCTGGATCATCCATGAACTGACTTGAAAAATATCTGAGGTGTGATAACTACCAGAAGAATGGATAAATCACAAGTACATAACACAAAAAATAAGATCGATAAATTGGGTGGGAAGCACAAAATTTGCAGATTTTCATGGATCTTACCAGTTACCACTAACCTCACACGGTTGGAAATGATGAAAAGATGGAAGGACAAGATGAGAGGAGGGAGGGCCTGAATTTCAATTGGGATGGACGGAACTGGTGGCGAACTTGTGCCGCGTCGAAGTCGAACCGGCCGGCCTTCTCTCCGGCGGGCGGCGGCGATCGTGTCTTGAGGAGAGGAGAGACGCTGAACAGAAGGACACTCCGCTTCTTTCCTCGGATGCGATTTGTCCCAGTTACAGCCCAATATCGAACAGAGATAACAACTGACGGCCCAAAGTGGGGCCTGTTACTAGGTGATGGCCCAACAGAGGACCATGAATGTTCTATCGTAGAGCTTGGCGGGCCCATTAACAATCAGCAACCCCGGGCTGGTCTTGGACCACACATCCTCCAAGAATAGCCCGTTAACACAACACGAGTAATTCGGAAGGAATAAGTAACCCCGGCGGCGAGTGACCGGAGAAGGCGGGTGAGCACGCGGCCGGCGGAGCGGAGTGGCGACAGCCGTGCCATCTGCTGCCGGCTGTGCATCGAGAAGATTGGAGAGGAAAGGAGAAGAGAAGAGAAGAAAGATAAGAAAAGAGAAAAAAAATAGAAGAAATAAGGTATGTGGGACGGTAAGTGAACTTATTCCAATATGGAACGGTCCGACGTCACAGCCCATATGGCCTGTTAAAGCCTGCTTGCCATCCATTAACATTTCTTTAGTTGAAATCCGGAATTTCTATCTAGCGCTGTTTTTGAAATTAATGTTTCTAAAAATAGTGTGCGTAGTCCGATGACCTGAAAAATTCGTGCGCATATGCACAGCATATATGCAAGTTGAATCAAGCCCCAACTGTATGTGTTTATATATGTGTCGCCCAGCGAGAGGAGCTCTTATTGCCAGGTAATTAATTAACTTGTACAAGATACAAGCACACCACACGATAATCATACGGTACGGACGAGCATAAGTTACTCTTAGCTACGTATATAGGTGGGTAGCTAGCAGAGAATAATTATTCTGCACCAGATTCGTTGATATCAACTTGAGCCTTGATAGAGAGCTGGATCGATGTATCGATCAGCTCAGTAGTAGGGCTGGATCTTCCAGCGCTGGTTGTCGCCCTCGCACCACTTCCAGAGCACGATGTCGGTGCCGTCGCGGACGCCGCCGTGGTACTTGTCGCCGTGGAAGGCGTCGAAGTTGAGGTAGATGTTGTTCACCATGCGGATGCACCTGAACCCGTTCCCCACGTCGCGGCTCTCCGTCCACAGCACCGACTCGTCCATCACCTCCGGGTTGTACGGCACCAGCCTCACCTGCACGCAAGAGCATCGTCGTCGATCGCCATCAATGGCCGGCGGATTCAGATTCAGAGAAAGAACGCTGAGACTAGCTTACAGGGTGTGACTGGCCGAGGGAGTGCTTGATGGCCTGGCCGGTGGCCTTGTTGACGAGGGCGAAGGCAGGGTAGCCCTCCTCGTCCTTGATGCTGGTGCTCCACCTCATGTCCTTGATCCAATGCTGGTACTCGTCCTTGGGGTTCGCCGGCGCCAGCACCACCGCGCCGTTCCGCGCCGTCATCGCGTAGTTCGGGTTCGCCCGGCAGTACACCTTCACCGTCGGCTGCGGCGGCAGCGTCCTGCCACACCCGTTCCCCTCGATGTTCACCTGCGACATCCCGTACGGCGCCGCCGGCGCGTACCCCGGCGTCGCCAGGGCGCCGCCGCCACCGTACCCGCCATACCCGCCGTACTGCTCGCGCCGCCCGTAAAAGTCCATGGCTTCTTGATTTATGACTCGCTAGCTACCTAGCTAATTAAACAGAGATTGTATAGCTAGCTGCAGAGTGCGTTGTTCGTTCGATCGTTGATGTGCTGCCTCTATGCATGGCAATGGGATGGGGGATTTATAGGGGATGATCGATTGATCAGTAGCACTGATCGAGATGCTATCTATCTCTCTCTCTCTCTCTCTCTCTCTCTCTAGATAGCTGATCGATGTGCATTATTCGTGCACTGCATGGTCAGGGGCTTAGGAACTTGGTAGGATAGATGATGCCATTCCACACTTGCGCTTTCCTGGGGAAAAGGTGATTCCATCCATCCATGGTGCTTTACGTGATTCCGTTTCTAGTCGTTTTGGGAACCATCTCGATCTGGCTGCCGTATTATTGCAGGCGAGCGCGACGCGAGACGATAGCAAAGCACACGGTGCAGCTCCATCGCCCGGAGAATCTCACGTATTCTCATGTCCTTGCTGCGTTGTGATCAAGCAGAGAAAAAGTGCTGCAATTCCGCACAAGAAAAGATTAAAAAGGAATAACGGGATCGATCGAGAAGAAAAGGAATCAGCCAAGCACATTTAGAAATTTATTAGGGATTACCTATACAATTTTTCGACAGAAAATTCCCCGGGCGTGCAGTGTATCCACCAGAAATTTGAAAATTTGGCCAAAAAGGAAGAAAAGAAAAGGGAGTTGGGGGTGGGACTAATGGGTCTAAATTCTTAACGGGCCGATCATGAACGGAAGTTACACTTATTCTCCCTCAACTACAATAATACCGAGCATAACACTAATCATGTCGTAAAGTGACCATTGAGCAGCTTGAAAAAACTAAAATTTTGATTACGAAAGTCGATAAAGATAAGAGTTTCATCAAGATACTCTTAGATAGGACAAGAAAGAGCAAATTTGATTGATGCCACCTCTATTAGTTTGGAACAATTAGAAAAGTCTAAAAAGGAAACCCTTTAGTTTGAAATAAAAAGAGTGATGAATTAGGTCCAACAATGAGTTTTCCAACGAGGTCGTACAAGGAGCTCTAGAAGGAAGCTAACCTAGTTCTCAAAAAAAAAAAAGAAAGAAGAAGGAAGCTACCTTATTGGCAAGTTGTACGGTGGTTTTCTACAACATGGCGTTAATTGCATAGTGGAAAAAAAACTGGAACGGACTGACAGTTTAACCGGAAAAAAATCGGAACCAGAGGTTGGCGGCCGGTTTTGTGATGAACCGGGCAATAAACCGCCTTTGGTCCAGCCGGACTAAGGCAAGTCAATGAATGAATGGGCCACACGATGGCCGGTTCATCCCTGGTCAATGGGATGCATGGCAACTCCCGTGGCCATCCTACCAATCGGATGTACTCTCTCCGTTTCAAAATGTTTGACACCGTTGACTTTTTAGTACGTGTTTGATCATTCGTCTTATTTAAAAAAATTAAGTAATTATTTATTCTTTTCATATCATTTGATTTATTGTTAAATATACTCTCATGTACACATATAGTTTTACATATTTCATAATTTTTTTGAATAAGACGAACGGTCAAACATGTGCTAAAAAGTCAACGGTGTCAAACATTTTGAAACGGATGGAGTATGTGTTAGCATTGAAATACATACGTTACATGCATGCACTTAGTAAACTGCGGTTCGATCGGCTGGTTCATGGTCAAACTGTCCGAGACCGGTGAACCAGAAGGGTGACTGGGTCATCTACCGGTCCGGTTTTTTCCACTATGGTTAAGTTGCATCCGGTAAGGAAAAAAAAGGTGGGACTCATCTTCTCCCTTCACACCTCCACCTCTCCTCTCCTCTCCTCTCCCTATCCCCCCGCTCTCTCTCTCTCTCTCTCTCGGACGGGCACTATGGCTCGTTTGTGGGCATGTGGGCATGCTTTAGCGTAACACTATGGTTCATTGGCTAGGTTGGGGTCTCTGCGACCCATCGACCAAAGGCGTAAGGTGGAGAGTGAGGAATGAGGAAGGAGGAGGGACATGTTTAGATTGTAGCCAAAATAAACGTTACCAAGTTTTGGCAGTGCCAAAATATTGGCAAGATGACAATATTGCTACAATTTTAGCAGGATTTGTGATCAAATTTGGCAACAAACTAAACATAGACATATTTTTTGGCAACTTTACCAAAAATGGTATGATATTAAAGTGAACAGACCCGAGATTATAACATCTGGGACCAATGATTTTTTTTAAATCAGACATGTGGATCCTATTCTTCATATGTTTTTTTGTTTTTTTCCGCTGATTGTAATTACATGTAAGTGACTTATCAGGTGAAGACTAGGTCAATATTTTTTCCACATATGATACAACTGCCGTCTAAACCACCGCGGGACTCGATATACAATGTTTTGATAGTAGGGGACGCTCTATACCCATTACTTGAGGTATCTAATGTGAACTCTTTTCTTTTTGTGGCTACCTGCACTGTTTGTACGTATGGGCCATGATGCAGCCCAGTGCACTAAAGCCCAACCAGGACTGCCTTGCCGGCCTCCTGCGCTTGGTGCTCTTCGATCGTGTGTCCTCCTCCGTGGCCTAGCCCTAGCCGCCCGTTCCAATCCAACGGTTCGCGACGGCCAGAAGGGGTTCGTCCGGGTGAATAAAAATCCGAACCCCTTCACGAGATCGACGCCTTGGACGCCTCTCTGCTTTTCGAGTTCGACGAAATCGGGTTTCGTCCTACCCAAATTCAAAGCATTTTGTTTCATCATTATGACTTGGAGAACGTGTTCCAGTACCACGCCTTTTTTTTCAGCAAAATTACACGTCACAAACAGAAGAAGGGGAAACAACAGGGTCGAGACAAATGAGCCATTCATAATTCATTCATTAGGCATACGAAAAGTAGAGAGTACAGGGGAAAGCAAGATGAGTTGCATCAGATTTCTGAATCATATGGCCCCTCCTCCTGCACTTACATCACCCACTGTTTCATCTCATAGCAATCACTGGCTCGCAAAAGGACACACACTGACACAAACTCGAGGACGGACGGACACCATTGACTGCCATACTCCGATCGATCGAACGAACGAACACGGTCTTATTTCGGTAGCAGATCGATCAAATTATTAGCTAGAGTAGAAGCAGAGCAGACGCGACGACGATGGCAATGCAATGCAGCTCCCCCTCCCCGGAATCTCTGCAGATGCAAAGAAGCAGCAATCCAAGTGTCAGAATCTCTGATTTCTTCAGAGGATCCGAAGGAAATTAATCGATCAGCGATGGCATTGTGCATTGTTAGCGGTGGAACTTACACCAGGGGAGGATCTTCCAGCGCTGGTTGTCACCCTCGCACCACTTCCACAGCACGATCTCGGTGCCATCGTGGATGCCGCCGTGATCCTTGTCGCCATGGAAGGCGTCGAAGTTGAGGTAGATGTTGTTCACCATGCGGATGCAGCGGAAGCCCTTGCCCACATCCTTGCTCTCCGTCCACAGCACAGACTCGTCCTGGTACTCTGGGTTGTAGGGAACCAGCTTCACCTGCATGCGCAGAGAAAATCGTTCGTTGTGATTCAGAGATTCGTTGCATATGTAAGAAAATATTTATTTTGTAAGAAAAGATTTGCTCACCGGGTGGCCCTGTCCGGTGGAGTGCTTGATGGCTTCGCCGGTGACCTTGTTGACCAGCGCGAACGCCGGGTAGCCTTCCTCGTCCCTGATCTTGTTGCTGTGCCTCATGTCCTTGATCCAGTGCTACAAACCACAACCACAAATCTCTCAAGGTTTTTCTCTATCTGAATAGTAGTATATAATTAAGAGGAGAATACGTACCTGGTAGTCGTCCCTGGGGTTCTTGGGGGCGAGGCAGGCGGTGCCGTTGCGGACGGTGAGGCAGTAGTCCTCGCCTGCGGCGGAGAAGACGCGGACGGTGTGGACGGGGACGCCGCCGATGGTGCAGGCGGTGGCGGCGCCGGGGGAGGAGGAGTGAGCCTCGGGGCCCCAGGGGAGGATCTTCCAGCTCTGGTTGTCGCCCTTGCACCACTCCCAGAGCACGACGGTGGTGCCGTCGCGGACGCCGCCGTGGTCCTTGTCGCCGTGGAAGGCGTCCAAGTTGAGGCGGGTGTTGTTGACCATGCGGATGCAGCGGAAGCCCTTGCCGACGTCCTTGCTCTCCGTCCACAGCACCGACGCGTCCTCGTACTCCGGGTTGAACGGCACAAGCTTCACCTGCACACCCATCACCCGCCATGAGTCCATGACATCGAAGTCAACGTTCTTCGATCTTCCATGGCAGCACGCACAAAGCTAGCAGCAAAATAGAAATATAGTATTACGGGGTGGGACTGGCCGAGGGAGTGCTTGACGGCGAGTCCGGTGGCCTTGTTGACGAGGGCGAACGCCGGCATGCCCTCCCCGTCCTTCACCTTGGTGCTGAACCTCATGTCCTTGAACCAGTGCTGCATTTCAATTCATTCCATTTCAGTATACATCAAAATCCGATCGAATATAGAAACAAAAGAAAAGGCATATATAAGAAGGGGGACCTGACCTGGTGCTCGTCCTTGGGGTTGACGGGGGCGAGGACGACGGCGCTGTCGCGGACGGTGAGGCAGTAGTTCTCGTTGGCGCGGCAGAAGATCTTGAAGATCTGGTTCGGGTCCGACGGCGCCGCCGGTGCCTGGTTGTGGTGGTGCCCGAACCCAAACATCTTCGACCCTTAATTCGATCGGTGCAACTCGCGACTCGCGAGAGAAATGTTTTTGTGCTGCGACTGCGAGCGATGATGCGAGGAGGAGCGAGAGGTGCCACGTTTTATAGAAGGCCAAGGCCGGCCACTCTCACCCTCACCCACTGATCGATCGGCTCGGCTCGATGACGCGCTCTCCTGTGCCAACTCCCACGTTCGCTGACAGCTGGGCCCACCGGTGGTCCTCGACTGGCTCAAACGCGTGACATGCGTGCGTGTATGTTTTGCATTCTAGCCGTTTGATTTGAATATTTGATATGATATGATATATCTTTGGTGTTTAATGTACTCTCAGATTCGGTTCCATGAACTTGACTTGGATGCTAGTACCAGTAATTCATTGTGCTGAGATTTGCATTACTAAATGTGCGAGTAAATGCAAAGATTTGATTACTGGTGCACAGTTAATTGCTCTACTTACTCAGTGGAAG